CTCGATATACCTTTCTGATCAACCATCCAGGTTGTCTTGGGCTGGAAATTTGTTTCACTCTGTCTTTTTGTGGGTTCTGCTGCTTTAGAATTTGTTTAGAGCCATTTTTTTTTACAGGTATTTGGAGGGGTTTGGGGGAGAGCTCAAGCAAGTCAACAGCTTTCACTCCGCCATCTTGGCTCCACGGGAGTTGTCCTTAATCCACTTACACTATGTTGAGGAATTCTTCCTGAACCAGCTGATAATTAGATCATTCATCAAATATTTTTTTCTTACACTAATCCATCAAAATTGGGGATTATTAATTTTGAGGCTGGAACAACCCAACTGTAGCTCTGTTACCTACAGCATCCTTTTGCATCTTCACACAAGAATCCCCATTCCCTTATGTCCTTGGCTTGGACCTTGAATCGGAACACTAATTTCAAAACAATGAAGTGGGGTTGGGGTGTAGGAAAGGCTTTTTAAACTGAAGTTTGAACAAAGTCAGACATTATGACAGAGAGAGAGAGACAGAAAGAGAGAGAGAGAGACAGATAGAGAGATGGAGAGAGAGAGAGAGAGAGAGAGAGAGAGAGAGAGAGAGAGACAGAACAGAGAATGCATTCAATTAATGTGACTGTTCAACCTACCAGACCTTGCAGATCCAAATGAGTGTTTCATCCTTCAAATAGTCACCTTTAGTTCATTAACACATTCAAATTATGCTTCCATTTACTATAAGCTTGTTTTAACGGGGATGGGATTCATTTAGACACTATCACAACCTTTTGAATATCATCTCTGATTCCAAATTATCATCCTTTGTTGATATTTGATATTCTAAATTTGGTATTTAGCAAAAGTTATTTGGAGAAAAGTCTGCTGAACAAGTCAGATTCTCCAGGTATGTGATACCAGAAGGGCAGATTTTATAATGGAAGCTAATTGCAAGCAGGGATATTCTCACTTTTTCTTCTTGTATCCCTGGCACAGCAGCTGGCACCTACTAAAGACTTTTTAGTTGATTGACTAAAAACAAAACAAAACAATAAACAATAAAATGATGTTAAGGCAGCATAGTGGGATGAAAAGGGTGCTAGACTGGGAGTCTGAACAGTTTGGGTGTAGGGCTAGCTCAGACAGCAGTGAGCTATGCGATTTGGAGCAAGTCAGTCTCTCACAGCTTGGGCTATATCTATTCTACAAAACCAGAGGACAGGATCACACCAGTGGCATCAGACTCAAAAAGAAACAGGGACACCAAGCCACATGTAAGATTCTCTGGAGGCCATGTATCGACTAAGAAAACTACATATTAACATTACCTATGGTTTATTGTATATTTATTTTGTTAAATATTTCCCAATTTCATCTTAATCTGGTTCAGGTTGCACATGGTAGTATTGTGTGTCAATTGGGTTGGGGTTTGGTACCTCTGCATTAGGTGTTCCTAAAAATCTCATCCAATCTCTGATTCTCTGAATCTTTACCCCAATTTTAGCATCTCTCTAATCTCAATAGAGATGCAGAATGGGCTAATGAAAAGAGTACTAGGTTTGGAGTCGTAGACTCTAAAAGCTGAAAGGGGTGTCAGAGGTCATCTGGTCCTGCCCCTTCCTGAGCAGGAATCTTCTCTGCAATAGTTTTGACGATTAGTCTTTCATACTCCAGTGAAAAGGAATCTATTACTCCCTTGAGAAAGCCAATTCTATTTTTTTTAATATTTCTAATTGTTTTCCCTTAAATAGAGTGAAAATCTGCATTTCTGCAACTTTCACATGTTAGTTTATCCTTTGAAGTCAAATCTAATCTTTCTTCCAAAAGACAAATTTCTTGATTAACTAGATTCACCCTTCAAATATCTGGATACCTCTCATATCACTCTAAGCAAGGATGTGCTGGTAAATGTTTAACAATCTGCTCTCTGCAAAAATAAATGTACACATAATGTACTTTTAAGTTTAATCTTCATTGTTAAATTTTCTCCATCACTTTTTTTTTCTTTTTGATGAGGCAATCGGGGTTAAGTGACTTGCCCAAGGTCACACAGCTAGTAAATGTAAGTGTCAAGTGTCTAAGGCCAGATTTGAACTCAGGTCCTCTTGACTCCTGACTCCAAGGTCTGACTCCATTACGCTACCTAGCTGCCCCCTCTCCATCACTTTCTTAAGTCTAAACATTCAATAAAACAAAATGAACATTATCCTTTGGATGATAGGTGAGAATGAAGGTGAAAAAGAAAAGAGAAATCCTCTTCATTCAAGATAGGCTTTTCAAGAACTGAACCCAGGCAAACTGCAATGCCAAGGGAGTGGTACAGGGTGACAATCTTTGGGAATCCCATCCAAGTATTACTTCTGGCTAGACATTCATTTTCTGCCCAATGTCTAAACCATTTAGTTGATACTACTAGGGGCCCTGCAGTCCTTGGCACATTTCATTCAGTTAGTTTTTCAGTCATTTGAATCAAACAATCCTTGTTCTGCTCCTGAATTTCTATCTTTTTACTTAGGTTCTCATTCAGTACCTCTCCTCTTTTTAAAGTCTAACTTGAAGCAGGCTCCTTATAAGTGCCAGACCACACTGGAATATTTAGGTATTAAATCACTGTTATAACGCTAGTCAATGTGAGCCTGATACATCTAACCACACACCCAAAAGTAGACGAAATCTGGAGCAAGTAATTTACTCCTTGTCCCTTTCCACTAATGACAGTCCTGGTGTGGTGAGTTAAGGCAGACCCAATGCTTTTCTAGTTTCTGACTAGTGACCCAGGCTTTCAGCCCCAGCGGGTCAATTGTGCAACATCTGGTATCAGACCTCGACTTCTCACATTCCACAGCAGGAACAAATGTGAAGAGGAAGAATTCTGGCTGGGGAATTCACAAATGAATATCAGACCAAAGCTGCCTCAGGCCACCGTGAGAAAACCTCCAAAGGCTGTTGTGCTGTGATTGAAGCAGGCTGTAGCCTAGGAGGCTTGTAGCTGAAAGCCTCCTACTACATCCCCTCAACTCCTACTCTCCAAGAACCAATCCCATATGCTGCAGCTTCCACCATCTAATCTGTGCTTGTAAAACCCAGGCACTGTTCTCCTAGAAGAAGCAGCTCCCACTCACTAGAACAATCAATACCTTTTAGTCTACCTGTGTATTAAAGGGAAACTGTCTTTCAGTTACAGTTCTGCTTTCCTCATTCATCTACTTCATCACTCCCTCCAACCACCAGAAATCAGTGTAAGCTCATGAAATACAAGTTAATTTTAATATTAACCTAAGCAAAATGTAACAAGGAGGGGCAGCTAAGTGGCACAGTACATAGAACTCCAGTCTTGGAGTCAGGAGGACCTGAGTTCAAATCCAACCTCAGACACGTGACACTTACTAGCTGTGTGACCCTGGGCAAGTCACTTAACCCCAACTGCCTCACCAAAAAAAAAAAAAAACCCGCAACCCCCCCCCCCAAAAACCCAGAAATACTGGTTAAAAAAAAATTTTTTTTAAATGTATCAAGGAAAGTGAGTCTGTTCCCAGATTTCTTTCCTGACCTCCATTACATATGTGTGTAATGTACCCATAAACCAAATAAGTAAATCTTCCATTACCTTCTATTTTGGATTCTGCACTCTACAATTCACTATCACATCAATTCAGATGAATTTAACAAATATTTGTTAGTACCTATTGTGTGAGAGGTTATTCTGGGCACTGAGAATACAAAGACAAAAAAGAAAGCAGTCCTTGTCAAGAAGCTTACATACTACTAGGAGCACATAGCATATAAATGAAAAAAATAAATACAAAACAATAATCCAAAGTAAATTCAAGAGGTAGAGATTACTAATGACTAAGGGGATCAAGAAAGGCCTGGTATAGGAGGTGGCACTTGAGCTGTATTTTTAAAAATTAATTTTTTTTAATTAACAAAAATTCATCTTCTTTCCTTTAAAACTTCTTCCTCCCTCTCCACTGAAAAAGAAAGATAAACAAAACCCTTTTAACAAACATGTTTTGTCAAATAAAACAAATTCTGCATTGACAATGTCCAGAAAAATATGTCTAAATCTGTACTCTGAGTTCATCACCTCTCTATCAGGAGGTGGGCAGCATATTTTATCATAAATCTTCTGGAATCATGACTGGTCATTGCCTTGATCAGAGTTCTTAAGTCTTTCAAAGTTGTCTTTTACAATATTGTGTTATTGTATAAATTGTTCTCATTCTGCTCACTTCACTCTGTATAAGTTCAGGCAAGTCTTCTCAGGTTTCTCCGAAACCATCTCCTTCATAATTTCTTACAGTATTATAGTATTCCATCACATTCATATATCATAATGTGTTTAGCCATTCCCCAATTAATGATGGACACCTCTTCAGTTTTCAAATTTTTACTACCACAAAAGCATTCTGTTATAAATATCTTCATTCACGTGAGTCCCTTTTCTCTTTCTTTAGTCTTTTTGGGGTATAGACCTAGTAGTGGTATTGTTAGGCCAAAGGCTAGGCACATTTTAGTAACTTTTGGGGCATAATTCCAAATTGTTTTCCAATGTCAATTCAGAATCAAGATAGTTCATGGATCTACCTAGAGCACATTAATATATCTGTTTTTCCACAGCCCCTCTGGCATGTGTCATTTTCCCTTTTTGTCAGCTTTGCCAATCTGATGGGCGTGACATGGAATATCAGAGTTGTTTTAACTCAAATTTCTCTATTTACGATTTGGAGCATTTTTTCATATGGCTATTGATAGCTTGGATTTCTTCCTCTAAAAACTGATTATATCCTTTTATCAATTGAGGAATGGCTCTTATTCTTAGAAATTTGAATCAATTCCCTATATCTCAGAAATGAGACCTTGCTGCAAATATCTTCCCCTCCCCACTCCCTCCCCCCCACAAATACCCCATGGGAGTTATGATCTAAAATTTAAAGAACAAAATTATGGAACTTCAAAGCACTACTAAAGCAACAAATGTAATGATTTGTCAATATTAATTCTTCTTGATTTCTCCGCAGCCTTTGGCACTGTTGATCACCCTCTTCTCTCCAAGTTTTTGCTACGCTGCTCTCTCCTCCTACCCGTCTGACGGCTCCTCCGTGGTCTCCTTTGTTGGATCTTCATCTGGGGTGGATCTTCGTCCAGCTCTGGCTACTCCTCCAGGATCTCCTGGGTCTGCTTCTCTTCTCACTCTTTGCTATTTTGCTTGATGATCTTATCAGTTCCAATGGATTCAACGATCACCTCTATGCAGATGGTTTTCAGATTTCTCTCTTGACCTCCAGTCTTGAATCCTCCTCTGTTTATTGGGCATTTTAAACTCAATGTTTCCAAAACAGAACTCCTCATCTTTTCCTCAAAATCCACTCCTCCTGCTAACTTCCCAATTACCTAGAGGACATTACAATCCTTTCAGTTACCCAAGTTCACAATCTAGGTGCCGTCCTTCACTCTTTACTCTCCCATCCTCTATATCCAATCTATTGTCATGTCTTCAATAGTACCTTCAAATTTTTCACATTCAGGCCCTTCTCTCCTCTGATACCACCCTGGTGGAGGCCCTCAACATCTCAAGCCTAGAACTATAAAATATAAAATCCTCTATTTGACAAAGTCCCTCATAAACTTCCCACCACCACTTCCAGTCTTCTTCTATTTTATGTCCCCATCCCCACCCCATGCGATCCTCCTTGCTCTTCCTCAAACGAGACAATCCATCTCCCAACTCTGTGCATTTTCACTAGTTGTTGCCCATACTTGGAATGCTCTCCCTCCTCAACTCCATCCTCTGACTTCTCTGGTTTCCTTCAAACCCTAACTAAAATCCTACCTTCTATAGGAAGCCCTTCCTGACCTCCCTTAATTCTAGTGCCTTCCCTCTGTTGGTTATCTCCAATTTATCCTGCATATTACTTTTTGTTCATAGTTGTCTGCATGTTGTCTTCCCTATTAGACTGTGAGTTGTAGAGAGCAGAGGCTGTCTTTTGCCTTTGTCTTCTCAGCTCTTAGTACTGTGCCTGACACATGGTGGTGCTTAATAAATGTTTATTGACTGACAATTGCATTAGTCTCCTGGTTAGTCTTTCCACCTTAAGTCTCTCTCTACTCCAGTCTATCTGTCACTTAACTATCAAAGTGATCTTCCTAAAGTGCAGGTCTGACCACTTCACACACCCCTTACCTTCTTTCCCATCGCTGAATAAATTCCAATAGTTCTCTATTACCTCTAGGAGAAAATAAAAACCCTGTTTGGCTTTTTTAGCCTTTCATAACCTAGCACCTTTCTATTTTTCCAGTCTTCTTACACCTTAATCCTCTCCTTGTCCTCTATGACCCAGTGATGGGGGCCTTCTTGCCTTCCTTGAACTAGACACTCTATTTCTTTACTGCATGTACTTGCTACTCCCATGCCTGGAATTCTCTCCTTCCTTGTCTCTCCTTCCTAGCTTCCGTAGCCTCCTTCAGGCAGATGTTCCCAAACTTATTTGGCCTACCACCCCCTTTTAAAAAAATTACTCAGTGCCCGCATGGAAATCTACTTTCTTTAGCCCTTTAATGTTTTCATTTTTTTGAAATTTGCATCATTTCAAAAAATAGAAAATTTTTAATGATGCACTTTAAATTTAATAAATTATTGTAAATTTGTGGGGTTTTTTCCTGCATTGAAATTTTGATGATGCTATATTGTGTCATGTAACCATATATTATCATATTGTAAATAAGTCATTACATGCACATATTCTTGCCGATGCATGCTGGACTTCCTGACAATGTGGGACGTGTTCACCTGCCAACACTTGCTCATTAGGACCTGTCAGCAGACTTGACCATTGATCAGTTATAACTTGCATTTTGTGTGTTTTTTTTGGAAAATAATGTAATCACTATGACTTTAACTCTGTTACACAACAGATGAAACATGTACGGTTTTTCAAAATTTTCTTATCTTTTCTCCTTTCTTTATGCTTCCACTGCCCCCTTATTTTTATTCAACGCCCCGCAATTGCACCAGAGGTTACTACTGACCCCCCCCCAACATTACGGGGGGGGGGCAATGGGGCGTATTGCCCACTTCGGGAACTTATGCTTTAGGTCTTAAATAAAGTCCCACCTTCTTTAAAAAGCTTTTCCTGATTCCCCTTAATGTTAGTGTTATCTCTATGAGATTACCTTCAGTTTATCCAGTTTACATGTTGTTTGAGCATAGTTGTTTGCATGTTGTCTCCCATATTAGATCGTGAGTTCCTTGAGGACAGGGTCTGTTTTTGCCTGTATTTGCATCACCAGCACTTAGCACAGTGTTTGAGAAACAGTAGATGCTTCATAAATGCTCGTTGACTTGACTTCAGTCTGTGTGGTTTATCTTATGAAGACATTGATCCGTACACATACAAAACAGGGACATTATTTTAAAAGACAATAGGTAACATCCTCCTCATTTGGCTCCACCAAACCCCTCTCTCCCGTTAACCCTGTATAGAAAAGAAAGCATACTGAAGGTCTACATAACCACAAAATTCATGTATAGAAGGAGCCAGAGTAGGGGATATTAGCCCAGGCCAGAAGGGACCTAATATACAGCCAGCATGCAAACGTTTGGAAGAGATGGCTTAAGGACAAGACGGAATAATGAGGGGTATGGAGGGAGTCTTTCCCCGTACCTAGGCCTGACCTGAAGTGAGAAACAATCCATAGAGAGACCTGGGTGCTCTTAAAGCCTAGACAATAAGGCAGTCAGTCCTCTTAGGAAGCAGTTAGAGGTCAAGAATGGAGTCCCAGCTAATGACAAGAGTGGTGATCAGGTGAAAAGTGACTAGAGGCAGAAACAATGCTCCAGGTCCCAAGTTCCCTCAAGCAAAAACAGTACAGTGATCTTCTGGAAGTCCATGAATAGAACAATAGGGATGCTGTTAGATGCTAGTGAAAGTGGCTGATGTGAAGGTATGAGACTAAATCTGTGCTCATGCAACCCCTGGCTTTGGACCATGCTTGCCCAGATCCTAGGACAAGCTGCAAGTGTGCAGGACTATGAAATATTTGTTTATTTGTATTCAATTTTTTTCTTTTGCTTCAATTAGGTATGATTTTTTTTTTAAAAAGCTACATACAGTTAAACCATGCTTATGTGATTGCTTTAAAGTGTGATTTTTTTTAGGGGGTACTTAGGTGGCACAATGGCTAGAGAACTGGGCCAGGAATCAGGTAGACCTGAGTTCAAATCTAGTCTCGGATGTTTCCTAGGTGTGTGACCTTGGGCAAACCACTTAACCTCTTTTTGCCTCAATTTTTCTTATCTGTAAAATGGGGATAATAATAGCGCCTTCCTCCTAGGATTGTTCTGAGGATTAAATGAGATAACATTTATAAAGTACTTAGCACATTGCCTGGCACACAGCAGGTGCTATATAAATGTTTGCCATTATTATTATCAGATTGATGCAAATGCTCCATTTGTTGTATTCTCATAGGTACATATGTCCATATACATTATATATTTTACTCATAATTTGTTTCACTAAGTGCAACTAACAAACTGTATGAAAGAAAGAAGGGTATATTTCTGATAGATGGAGGCTGAGCTGAGTCTAATTAGATAAATTCACACTGACCACACCCCTAGCTTTGTAAGACTGACACTATCACTCACCCAGTTGTTTAGAGATAGTCAGCCACTCAATCAATAAACATTTACTAAGCACCTACTATGTAAGAGGCACCATGCTAAGAGTTGGGGCTACAAAGAAAGAAAAAAACAAACAAACTAGCAAACAGTTCCTGTCCTTGAGGAGGTCACAATCTAAAGAGAAGGCAACATGCAAATGACCATGTGCAAGCCAGCCATATATACAGGATAAATCTGGAAACAATCAGCAGAAAGAAGGCACTAGAATTAAGAGGGATTGAGAAAGGCTTACTGTAGAAGGTGGGATTTAAGCTGGGACTTGAAGCCAGGCAATCCAGGAATTAGAGTTGAGGAGGGAAAACTTTCCAAGCATGGGGGCCATCCAGTAGAAAAGCATGGAGCTGAGAGATGATCTTAGAACAGTAAGGAAAGCATTGGGGAGGATGGGATAGAGTGGGATTACTTGTGCATGTAGAGGGGTTAGCTTTGGCAAGGAGAATCACTTCTCCATGAGAGACCTGTAGTGAAGGAGCAGAAAATGGTAGAAGGCATCTGGATGTTGTGAGATGAGAGGGAGGTAGAAGAGGGAGGGAGGTCTTGGCAAGTAGCCTCAAGTTTTTCTCAGCTGAGAAGGTGGGGGACCTGGGGAGCCATGGGAGACTTAAGGAGGGATGAAAAGGTTTTAGAGAAGAGGAAAAAAAAGCTTCAAGAGAACCAGAGACATTGGCATCTCCCTACAACTCACTCTGGTGTTGGGAGAAAGAATGGCTGCTGCGTGTGAGTGTGGGACTCAGGCCTCAGCCTTCTTCAATTAGAGGGTCAGGAACCGAGACAGCAGTGCCACCTGGTGGTAACAAATTAGAGGACATCTGAAACAGGAACATAAAGTGAAAATTATAAGTAACCAATGAATTAAATGATTATGAAAATGAGAGTCATTGTGGCCTATAGTCAGTGGGGGACAATAGAAAAAACAGTGGGCTGGGAATCAAAGCAGCTGGGATTTAGTCTTGGTTCTGCTGATGACCTTCTGTTCCTGGGTAAATCACTTCACCTTCTGAAGGCCAGGTGCCTCATCCTAAAAGAGAGATGCTCCTTCTTGCCCAGCATAATCCATAAGGTTGTTATAATAACCAAATTACATGTTTGTCAAAAGACCTTGAAAACTTTAAAGAGCTAAGGTTATTACAGTTGTTTCCAGGATACATGCATAGCAGAGATCAAATTTGAACAAAAATATCTGAGTAACAAAACACCTCTTAGGCCCGCTACTGACACTCCAATTAGAAGTCATATTTGATTTTTGACTTGATTTGAATCCTAGTGCCACAAAAGGATAGGGAGGGTCCTTTACTGCTGAATGCTCCTCGAGGGCAGGGGCCATCTTTTGCCTTTTTATCCCTCACACTTAGCATAATGCCCAGCACCTAGTAGGTGCTTAATGTGTATTGATTGATTGCTTATCAGAATATACAGCCAAAACTATGCAAAAGGGTATATACAGCTTGTCCACTCCAAGACCTTGGAATTCTGGCCCCAGATTTCACATCAGTCTGAGAAACTCTCCATCCCACTTCAGGTCTTGCCTCTGGGGAAAAGATATGGACATTGTCTAGTTGTAGCACTGCCATGGTTTAGTGAGAGGAAGTAGGGTTGTAAAACTGGGACTTTGGTTGTGAAGCAGAAGTTGATGGCATTAACCACTCCTTGATATACCAGTCTTCTTCTAATGTGCTTCCCAACTCTCTGGACTTAGCTGCCTTCTCACCCTAGGACTTCCCCTAGTGCCTGGGGCCTTCCATGATGCTCCTTCCCCACCCCCAGGCCTCGGTGCCATTTCCTAGCGGTGAGTTCTTTCCAGGATCTCCATTTTGGATTCAGGTCCTTGGCAGCCACGTTTCACTCCTTTATAACCTATCCCATCACTTTTCCAGCCACTTTACCCATAACCCACCCCCCTCCCCCAACTTCTACTGAACTCTTCCAACCAGTGACACCGGCCTCTTATTACTCCTTGAACAAGATACTGCATCCCTAGGCATTAGCCATTTTCACTGGCTGTCTCCATGCCTGGAAGGATCTCCCTCCTCATCTCTGCCTCCGGGCTTCCTTAAAGGTCCAGCTAAAACCTCACCTTCTACAAAATGTCTTCCCCCAAAGCCTCTTAATTCTAGGGGTAAGGGAAGGTAATAAGCATTTATATAGTACCTACTATGGGGGAAGGGAAGGGAGTAAGCATTCATATAACACCACAGTGCCAGGCACTGTGCTAAGCACTTTTTAAACTATTACCTCATTTGATCCTTACAACTCAGTAGATGTGATTTTACCTCCACTTTATATTTGAGGAAATTGAACTGTATCCCTGTCGATTATCTCCTATTTATCCTGTATATAGCATCCTGTATATAGATTGTTTACACAGTTGCTGGCATGCGGTCCGCCCTATTAGACTGTGCTCCCTAAGGTAGGGACTCCTTTGCCCTTGTGTTCCCAGTGTTCAGCACGGTGCCTAGACCACACGAGGTAATTAATAAAGGCTTATTGACTGACTTCATTCCCCTCCAGCCTGTGATCCCGATTCTCCCACCTAGCCTCAGATGCTTTTTACCCTGGGACCTCCCTTAGTGCCTGGGGCCTTTTCACCTTGCAACATTCTTGGGCTACTCCCATTAGCGTGTTCTTCCTGGGCATTCTGGGGATGGGCCCAGGCAGCCAGGCTTCATCCTTCTCCTCCCAGCTATCCTTCTGACTTTTCTGACTGACACCATGCCCTCCCCACACACTCCCTTCAACTCCCTTTTATGAGTTGCCATTCCCCTCCAGAAGGTAAACTCCTTGAGGGCAGGGGCTTTTTTTTTAAACTTGCATTTGTATCCCTAGTGATTAATACAATGCTTGGTACATACTAAGTGCTTGATACATGCTTGTTGCCAGCCAGCCTAAGAAAGCAATCTTTTCGATCTAAACAACACTGCTACATCAGAGTTGGACTCATACCTTCTTGGAGAATTGCAATGAAGACGGGGTGATTCCAATTTCCCAAGAAGACATGAGTCCAACTCTGGCTTAGCAGTGATGTCATGGCAACTTATTTTACAGATGAGGGGAAGGGTTGAACTAGATAATCTCTAAGACCTCTGTCAGCTCTAAGACTCTATGACTGTGCCTCAAAGACCTTTCCTACGGTCACACAGCAGAAAGCACTTATTGTCCTCAAATGATTTTTTTTTTTTAAATGAGTCAATATTCGTTGAACATCCTCTGTGTACCTGGTACTGGATTATGTTCAGTGTACTTCAGGAGAGAATACTTAGAAAAGGAATGAGCAGTGATGGTTCCTGTACTAGAAAAAGTTTAAATCTAGTTGTAAACAGATAGAGGCTTTTTAACAAATGTAGAATTTCTCACCCAAACAAATGGTCCAGACAATCCTTGTATTTAAATATTTATTTTCATTTCACAAAAAAGCAACAGTGTATGCAGTTACACATGCTTTTCAGTCAGTGCTGGTTATATGCAAAACAATTTATCGAAGTGTAAAGAAAATAAGCCTTTTCCCCCCTTTACAAGTGAAACTAAACACATTTGCATATACAATATCATATATACATCCTATTTTCAAAAATCTCCCACCTAAAAGCAAGTTATGATACAAGCTTAGAATTTCACTGGCCAAAGCAGACACAAGATTCGTATTGTATACTCCTAAAGGCATTAAAATACAAAAGTGTAATTGTTTTACAAGTTTCTAAGTTATTTATCCCCAAAGTACTTGAAAGCTACTTTTCTTTATAGCTATAGTACTTGGCTTTATCAAGACTTAGTTGGACTAAGACTTAGTTATAGGATTTAGTTTTCTCTCAATGTGAGTTTAGTAGGTTGATGCAAATGCTCCATTTGTATTATCATTCTATATATTTTCATATATACAGATGAACATATATATTTTACTGATGGTTTGTTTCTTTCAGTGCAACTTCTGGAGCATTTTATTCAATCAGGCCAAAATTGATTCTTTTTAAAGTAAATATTTTAGATTGAGAACCATATAGAATTTACTAAATCACCACCATGACTAACTCAAAAAAGGTGCCCTTTCTCCCTTATTCATGGTGACATATAAACTTCTATATTTCTACTACAGCAGCAGGTTTAAGTAACAGCAAAATATAAACTAATTTTTCAACAATATAACCTGAGAGTTTAATATAGTAAATAACATTTGTTTGCAACTTTTCCCGAAATCATATTGCATTCCTGAAGTCAATGCCTTTGGGGAAAAAAAAATAAAGTAATACAAACCTTTAGGACTGAGTAGCATCTTAATAAATAGCAGTAAAAACAAATTATGTTAAGATGCTATTAAAATGTTTACACATTCATTTCCTTTGATATAGCCAAATGTGGAACAGTAACATTTACCATGTGGCAGATGAAGCAACTGTGAAATATGATACCACAATACTGAAAGCTAACATACAAGTCTGGTGGATACATGAAAAGCACACAAAAATGTACAGTTAATGAGGCAGCCTTATTTTACATTTCAGAGTGCAATAAAAGATAACATCCTCTAAGACAGGCAACAGTAAAAACTAAATCAGAAAAAGGAATGTTCTATCTAATCAAAAACAGGTTGACAAAGATGGGGTCACAAATCAGGTTTTGGGGCATGGGTGAAATCCCTAGCACATAGACACAAGGGAGAAAAACCTATTAATATCACATTTGATGTGGTACAGTTTTGAGAACCTTATACTAATCTATATATTTGACCGCAATGTAGGAACACAAGATTCGAAAACATCACCCAATATGCCATACCCTCAAGTAGGCCCTTATCACCTCAGAGCCGGACACTAAAGGTCTGACCGTGTTAACCCCCACCCCCACCTCCTCCCACTGAATAAACTCCAGTGGTTCCCTATCACCTCCAAGACAAAACATAAAATACTCCGTTTGGCATTCAAAACCCTTCGTAATTTGCAACCCTTACACATTTCATGTCTTCTCACATCTTACTCCATTCCCTCAGGCCCAATACTCTGAAATCCGGTAACACCGAAGTCCTCACACCATACTGTCTATCCCCTGCCTCTATGCATTTTCACTGGCTGTCCCTCATGACTGGAATTCTCTTCCTCAATCCCACTGTTCTCCTGCCTTTCCTGAAATCCCAGCTAAAACTCCACCCTCTAGAAGAAGCCTTTCCTGATTCCCTCTCTTGATTATCTCCAATTTATCCTGCACAGAGCTCATTTGTCCACAAGACATGCTGTAATCCCCATCAGACTGTGAACTCCTGGAAAGGAAGGACGTCTTTCACCTTTTTTATGATAACCCTAGAGCTAAGCACAATGCCTGGCACATAGTAGGTGCTTAGTAAATATTGTTGACTGACACTACTTACCAAGTACATACTCACATGTTAATGAAGCAACTAAAATGACCTTCTATAGACCAGATCTCCTACATAACAATTCTCAGGAGGGCTGTATTTTTATAATCCTTTAATTGAGACCTTATAACAGCCAATGATATTATTTTATAGGACCATACACAGCTTTATTTTTATATTACTGGAAGATTACTCTCCTCTGAATTTTCTTTTGCTGCCCACCCAAATACACACACTTCTAAAAATTTGCTTTGCTGAGATTTTCAATATATTTTTATTCCTCCCAAGCAATGATGGATATGATTTGTTTCCATAACTGATCTGTAACAAAAGCTCCCTTCCTTCTTTCTAAACAGTCACTCATCTCATTTGTTCCACATCTGCTACCATTAACAAGGACACCACATTGGTGCAACCTTAAGCCAAGTGGCAAAGATCCAGAGATCCAGCTTAAAGCAAAGCAAACCAGTGAGATTCCAAGGCTGCTTATAAAACAGGTGTACTGGGAGCTGCCAAGTACATTTGTAGTCATTAGATAAATACAGCCATATATATTGACTGCTAAAGATTAACTAGTACCTGAAAAAAAAAGCAAAACCAAATTATGGATGCATGTGTAACATGTATGTCTATGTACATTTGGAAAAAAAAGAAATACACTCACCATACCAAATACACCCCAGGAGGAAATAAAAGCATCTGGTGCTAGGGGGAAGGAGGGATACACAGTGCACCTGATTTTAATTCTCAGGGCAACTCTAAAAACCTAGCTCAAACAGCTACATCCTTAAAAATTATTTATCTTCTAAAATCCTGCAATACTCACATGAAAAATTATAATATAGTTAAGTGCTCTGAGTGTACAATGGTTTGGCTGTAGGCTACAGTTCTTCATGGCATAATTCTAGGCTTGGTGCTTTCAAAAATCTTACTCAGTGGCCCTATTCTCAGTAGGCTATCGGCACCATAAATGTTTAATAAATAAATGCTTGTTGACTAACTCAACTCACAATATCTACTGTTTTGATATCCCTTTATATTACTTTCAATACTTCCAAATTTTGAGTTCTATTTATCAATCTAATTCTAAATCCAGTCAATTTTTGAAAACAAGATTGTATAGGCTATTTTCATTTTATTCTCCATATTTACAAAAATAGATATTAATAAACTACCATTTGGGAAGAAAATGAGTGTAGATTGGAATCTGTGATGGGATAGAATTATCATAGATTCTTGGAATATATGAAACTCTCCAACAATGACCAAATACCACAGTAGCTTTTAAAAGTGGCTTATAAATAAGCTTAATAAGATGGAAAAAGGCACTAGCTCATGATAGAAGTTTCAAAATGTTTTGCAGATGAAAACATCCAATCATTTGTATGTTGAAAATAACACATTTTGGGCAACATATTTTTGCTTTGACCAGCCTTATGGTCCACTGCTTCAAAATGAATGGATTTTCGTCCACCATCCTCTACTCTACATGTTATGTGCCCAAACTCTATTTGGACAAGGCATACACTCTACTTTGCTCAAGAGTCATTTAATTTTCAGCCATCAATCTGTATGTTTATGTAAAAGCATGCTTTGGCTTCTATGTCTCCATCTGTGGGCCTCACTATCCCAATGTCTTAGGTGAGATAACAAAGTTTAAAGGCTGAAAAGATAAAAAAAAATTATTTTGTACAAAACCGTTTCCACTATACTTTAATCTTTCAAGCTTTAATTTCAAAAACAGTTGTCATGTGCATGGGTTCAGAATAAGCCTAACCCTTTATCAACTACTTAGCTCAATGGGCACAAAACCGAGGCATGGAAATAAACATCCTCTGAAGAACAGGTCAGCAATGGATCAAGAGAAATCTTTTCTTCCATAATGCTCAGCACGGAGTATTTGGTTCCACTTACAGTGCCAAAGTTAAAAAGAACAAGTAAATTTCAAAAGAAAAAATTCCTTAGAGCCTGAAAATGTACTACATATATTGTAAAACAGTATAACAAAGGGCAGGTATGGCTAAGGAACCTGTATTTCTAAATCTGAGAAGTATCAAAGAAAAATGTAAAATACTTCATTAATACAACATGGTTAAAAAAAATCCTCCAAAGTTTAACTGTTTTTTCCCCCCGACTTCCAAATAGAGAGTCTCCCACATTGATTAATCTGTCCCTTGTTTTTCTAAGCATAGACGTAGGTAAAATTCCCAATAGTCTCAACATGGCACCCTGGTATCTTACCATGATTGTCAGGGTATTATGTTTTCTATTCTGAAATTAATGGAGATAAGTAGTGGGAAAGAAATTGCACTGGACAAATAAGAAGAGACTATCATTTCCTTTTTTTCAAAAAAAGGTCATTTTGTAATTTATGTTACTTTTAAATTCAATATAAAAATATCTTACACAAAATAAAATATAATTTCATACACGATCTCACATATAACTTAAAAGAATAGATATTCCACTAATAATTCGATCCTATTGAACGAAAAATGTACCCCTTCCTATCGCTCAACTATGCACATTTTTAAAGTGCACACAAAGGGGTCTATTTTTAAAAACAGAAATTGTTTTAAAGCAAATTGTGAAAGAAACAAGAATTTGGAGAAGGGAGTTTTTCTCCTAAGAAGGAGTGAAACAATAATCTTGGACTGTGTCTGCATAGTTCAAATTATTCAGATACAGCATCCCCTACTTAGCCTCAAAGAGAAAGTCAGAATGCCATAGTTCACACCTGCTTTAGGGTTGGGGGGGGGTGTTCTTTACTGTTTCCTTAAAACTAATTGTTACTTTAATCAAAATAACAGAAAAAAAGGTTTTGAATTATGTACTGTTCTTAAAACCAGGAAAAAATCAAAGCCAAACATTTTTATAATGAGTTTCATTTTACTTCCTTTTCACACTATCTTCCTTCCAGGTAAAAGGTAAAATATCACATGAGATATTTTGGTTTCTAAAATGTCCTGAATTAAAACTATAACCCAATATACTTCTTCATCAAGTCAAATAAAAGTATAAAAAAATATAAGTGACGACAATCTAGTGAGAAAATTTCTTTAATGTGTATTCCAACTAAGGCAATGGAGAGTCAGACTTAAAAGATACTAGTGCTACCAGAACGTAAGACACACCATTTAATGATATGTCCCTAAATTCAAAGGTTAGGGAGTGCGCTGGGCTATTGGAGTATATGGCAGTGATTTTGGTTTAGGGGTTTGGTTTTTTTTTTTTGGAGAGGGGAGGAAACTGCATGGAAAAATCAGTAGTTAAGGAAAAAGTTAACTACAATTAACATCTGATCCAACCTGGAGTGATTTCCTATGGCAATGTTTTACGGAGTGCCCAAAAGTAAATATACACACATATGTCCAAATATATGAAGATAAACACACACATATACAAAATCAAAATAGACCCAACAATTTAGACTCTTTCCTGATATTTGGCTTTCATATATAATAGATATTTTTAATATCTGTAGCACCTGGCTACTCAGCAGACAAAAATACATACAACAGCTCTATATCCTATTTAAAATAAAATAAAAAATAAAACCATTTGGATACTCATAATTTGAAGCCAAAACCAATATTAACACTTAGCTTTAATTCATTACAGCTGTATGTTTCATTATCTGGCTTTACTATGAGACTTTCTCAGGTTTTACTAGGCCTCACGTTCTGAACAGTGTCTATAAACCATGAAGCAACCAGGGGCTGGCATAAGGGACACTGATACATGAGAATTTTGCAAAGAAGAAAGCTTACATAGTAGCTCCTCTCTTGTTTGACTGTGTCAATACTTTTCCAATACCGAGATTCCAAACCAGTTTCAAAATGGAGTCTCACCTCCCCATCCCTTTCCATCTGTATGTTTTTAATTTAAAAGTTCTTGTAGATGTTTGGTGAACACAGGTAAACCCAGTTCCGTAATAAAGAGCCTACATCCTGCCCACAGGCACTCTAGAAAACACAGACAAAATATCAAAAGGTTGTGCCCTGAGCTCACTGGAATACCTAATAGTGCAAACAGCATTGCAGTGATGCCTGGTTTCACCCTGGCTTTTGCAAAAGCAACAACAGATCAACAGATCAACAAGCTTTCTGAATGGTGAACACAAAGAGATGATGTCATGTACTCTACAGCCAGAAAGACAGATTTTTTAAGTTCTTCTCCATCCACTGGATATTCAGCTGGATGATCTGAATGGCCTCCTGGACGCAACGGAGTTGTGAGGTTGCCTCTGACTGGGCTTCAAAGAACGTCTGTACCTGGAAGGTTCATGGAGTCATGTTTTAAAAAAGAAAGTAAAATCACACATATGAATTATTCCTCTTGCAATAAGGACACACAGTGGTAGTAGTGGTGGAGGGGTAGAGGACTGGAAAACCTGAGGCACTGTCCTGGCTAAATGCTACAATCCCAAATATTTCTAAATGGACACAGTAATATCTTTTATTTTTTTAGAAAAAATTCTTTTTTCCCTCACTTATTTTTTTGAAAAAGAAAAAAGGGAAATTATCTTCTTTGCAGCCAAAATTAATTTTGAAAAAACTGTATTCTTATATGCAAGTTTATTTATACTAATACATTTGGTTCTCAAGGTGGTTTTAATTCAGAATATTATTAATTCTGGAGAAGTGTAGAGAAGGCAATAAGAGACTTCAAAACTCAAATACTACGAACTCTGTGCCCTTTATATTCTATAACAATATAGGATATATAATTATCATACTTTTGCCATGTATTAATGAAGTATTTTACATTTCTCTTTGATATATAATTTGGCTTTATCATATTTATAATATTAATATAATATTTATAGTATAAATTATATTATTACATTATGTCTGCACCCTCCCCCCCAAAATTATTTGGTATATATTTTGTATTTGCTTATATATTCCTCTTTCCTGCCCCAAATGGACTTGAAGTTCCTTGAGGGGAGGTATTGTTTTATTTTGTCTTTATATCCCTGATATTTGTCATAGGGCCTGGTGCACTTAATACATGCGAAGTGACTGGAAGAACCACTCTCCATGGAATTCAATTTCAAGATGTCTGAAGACAAAACAAAGAAGGATTGTAATGACAGTGTGGGCAAACAACATCTCAACCATATTGATTCACCTCAGTGGGAGACAGTTACTCAATCTCCTGGTATTTTACATCACTAACCTCAGACAAATGTGTCTTTGTTGAAAACAGATGAGTTGTGCCAGCAACAATATGCTGAATGGTATAGGATCCTAAATGGAACCTGGTGGGGAGACAGAACCACAATAAAAATAAATGAAAAAAAGTGCTACTAAAACATTATTATTGTTTATGAAAATATTCTAATTCTGCTGTGGATGTCAAAGACAGGAATGGAATTCCTACCTCTAAGAGGTCAACATCTGAGCTTTACTAAAACAGAAGGATCCTGATAAAATGTAAATCCAGTGAACTAACACATTCTATACTTCCACAAAGAATCTACTTGCATCTTCCAAAAACACATAGCACACTATCATGCCATGGAGCAAGGTGGAATATTCTTAAGTCATTCATTTACTACAGCAAGCACGAAGGAGCTGCCTTTCCAACATGCATGGCAGCACCACAGTAGCCAATAAGCCATCTATAGGTATGACACCTGCAATCCTGGAAATGAAATGTCTAAGACTAATACTTGTAACAAAAACAATGATTACTTCATAGAGATACAGTATTTTAATAAAATGTCACAGATCAAAATTGGTGCTATTGAAAACATCTTTGTTCATCCACAAAACTAAATTTCAGCCCCTGTGGAAGTTGTGAACATCTGGGTACCTTTTTCATAGACCACAGAATCACAGTAATTTCAAGGTAATACTTCTTTGAACGACTTACTTCTGTACAAGCCTATTCCAATTCTCTTTGACAAAATCCCACGCCAATAAATGCCCAGCAAAACTTCGACCAACAGTTTTAACGATGAGGGGCAGCTTTTGCGACCGGATGATGTCTCCATCAAGACTAGCTTTCAATAACCTAAGGAACAAAGCAGATTTAGCCCCCTGAAGTAATTCAGAGTTAAGCTGCTTCTTACTGAGCCAACAATTCCCAAGTTAAAGTTGGGCGTTGTGATAAAAGTCTCTTGGTAATTGCTTTTAACTCAAGGGAAGAACGTGAGTACGAATTATTTAGCCTGTGACTGATATCAGAATTCAAGTTGCCTTAAGTTTAAAATGTTCAAAGGATCAAATCAACTAGATAAGTGCTATTAGCATCATATATAAGCCAAGGTATTTACAAATGGCTATATCTGAACTGGGGACTATGGAAAATAAATTCTTCAAGTGTAACAGAATGTAGAGCTTGATTTAGAACCTGGGCTTCCTAATCACTAATGTGGGACAAATTTTTACCGGTCTGTAAAACTTCAATTATCTAAAGGTCCTGATTTCTTTGGTTTTTTTTGGGGGGGGGGTGGGTTTTGGCTAGGCAATTGGGATTACATGACTTACCCAGGGTCACACAGCTAGTAAGTGTCAAGTGTCTGAGGCAGGGTATGAACTCAGGTCCTCCTGACTCCAGGGCCACTGCTCCATCCATTGCACCACCTAGCCATCCCCAGTCCTGACTTCTTCATAGCTATCAACTTAAATAGCTTCTTTCTGCATCTTGTTTACTTCTTTTAAATTTGGCACCTTCCTTCTCCTGGCTCCTGATTCCTTTAATCTGACCCACAGAGACCCTCTGTGCTGACAGGCAGAGCACAGGAGAGTAGTCCAAGGTAGAGAATTTAGATACTTGACTGGTTCTTCAATATAGCCTAGATTCAGAAACACTGCCTTAGACAGCTCTTGTGAATTGTAAATAGATTAACTATCTGACTACCTACAAGCTGCCAGGTGTCTTTAAATGAACCTGTGTTAATGAGTACAAAGGTTGCCTATTCAAATACAATAAACTATTTGACTTCTGCAACTAAGTCACACAAATATATATTTATATGTATGTATGTATATATATATATTATATATATGTATGCATACACACACACATACATATACACATACACACATCCCTGTTGTTGACCCTTTGAGAATATATGGAGTAAAATCTAGGATATCAGTATTCTTTGGCTGCCATTCTAGGTATGTGGCTTTGCCTACAGAACAGACTGTACACTTTGCAGATGAAGAAACACAGAATATATTCCTGGTGGCAAAACTCTTATCCAACAATGCTCAGATTCAAATCAATTTAGGTTAAAAGTGTGTGAGTGTGTGTGTGTGTGTGTGTGTGTGTGTGTGTGTGTGTGTGTGTGTTATATGTATATACAAATAAAACTGTCCAAGTTGCTTGGTGTCAGGGTTGACACCTTAAATTAAAAAAAATTTTTTGACTAATGTGGAAATATGTTTAACATGACCGCACATGTATAATCTATATCAGACTGCTTGCCATCTTGGGAAGGTGAGAGGGGAGGGAGGAAAATGTAAAAAATTAATGTTGAAAACTATCTTTATACGTAATTGGAAAAAATAAAATATTATTTACAAAAAGAGAAAAGAAAAATGTTTCGTAGGTCTGTTATTAGTTCAACCCAAGAAAAGTGTTTGCGTGCTGGACAGAGTCTAGAAGGATGCCTAGGGTTCCTTAAGGATATCACCAGCGTCAGCCTAAGCAAAATTATGAAGTGGGAGAAATCTGTCTTTGGCATCCTTCTATCTCCTCTGTTCTGTGTTTTCTTTTCCATTCCTAGAGTCCCGCGCCCCCCTAAGTAACAAAACTCACATTAACATATCACTTTAAATTTGACAAAGAAGGACTAGGCCTAGAGTCAGAAGACCTGAATTCAAATCTTATCTCAGACGCTTATTAGCTGTGTGATCTTGAGCAAGTCACTTACCCTCTGTCTTCTTCAGCTTCCTCAACTGTAAAATGAGGATAATTACAGCGCTTTCCTTCCAGGGTTGTTGTGAGGCTCCAATGAGATAATACCTGTAAAGCGCTTAGCGCAGTGCCTGGCACCTAGCAGGTGCTTAATAGATGCTTTTGTCTCTCCCTCCAACAATGCTATGAGGTACAAAGTGTATTATCTACATTTTACAGATAAGAAAGCTAAGTGTACGTAGCATATTATACACATTTTACAGACGAACTAAAGCCCGCTTAAGAACTAAAATGACATTTCCAAGGTCACAAAGCTGTGAATGTCAGGGCAGTGATTTGAATTCAGGCTTTCCTGACTCCAATTCCAGTTCTTCCCTGGTTGTACAGCAACTCAGCATGGTACTTTACGTACGCCAGCCTTCTCTGGCAGGGACCCGGTCTCCAAAATGTTCTGTCCTTTATATGTCTACCTCCCCAATACAGATCCTATTCTCTAAAAGCCTTATTATAAGTTGGCTAATAAGGAGGAAAAATATTTGAGAGAGTGACAATGGGTTGACTTATTCTATGGGTATTTTGCCTTTTAGAAAATGAAGCCTGGGGCAGCTAGGCGGTGCAGTGGATAGAGCACCAACCCTGGAGTCAGTAGGACCTGAGTTCAAATCCACCCTCAGACACATAATACTCACTAGCTGTGTGACTCTGTGCAAGTCACTTAACCCCAACTGCCTCATCAAAAAAAAAAAAAAGAAAAGAAAAAACGAAAATTAAGCCTAAACAAGGCAAGCTTTAACTTCAAAAGAATAAATCTCTAACGGTAGACTAGAGATACTATGGCCAACGAATGATGAGCTGGGCTGCGTTGCGAAGAAGCAAGGAAGACTTCCAAGCACATTCCTTCCCTGCCATCCCAGGATACTAACTACACAGGAGACTGCTTATTCTACTCATGTGGGTGAAGTCAACCCTTGTCTCAGACCATCAGCATATCCTAAAAACACATCTAAGATACTGAGTAAATTGTGTAAGATGGAACAACTTACACAATTAAGAAATCGCTCATAATGTAAAGGTAACATTTACAAGCGGGGTAAGATTTAAAATGTATGTTTCCTAATTCTCTAGTGATTTCATACCAGTGAAGTTTCCGTACATCCTCTGAGCTGGCAAGAGCTTCAAGGATTTTGTTCCTTTCGGCTTCTGATTCTGAAGAGCCATACTTTTCAAACAAGAAGGTCCAGCCTGCCTCAGTTTTTGCTCCCACTTTGAATACCACTGGCATGACATCAGTCGGCAGGCTAAAAGAGAGAGAAAGAGAGAAAGATAGCCACAAATGAGAAACCAGCACATACAGATCGACAGCCAAGCTGAGACTTTCATGGAAGGAGGACACTGCAGGCAGACGAAACTTATCTCAAGCAGCACATGGAGGCAGAGGGATCTTTACTATGAGGGGCAAAGTAGAAGGTCCAAATCATAGAACATACACCAGCTTAAACACTTCTTGGAGATATAAATCACACACTGATAAAAGACAACCTAGGGAAGAAAAGATGACTGACAATATGGTGGCTTTACTTTTCTCTTCATTTGTAGGGTGTGAATATCAAAAGCAGCAGCTGAGCCTTCACATTCCAATCCTGTTTCTTCTCTCCCCCAATTACCAGGAACAAGTCAATCTTTCAGCTGAGAAAAATATACAGCTACCTGAAAACAGCCACTGGGGGCTAATTTGGCCTCTTCTTAGAAATATGCTTTCTCCGTCTTATCAAAAGGCTGAAAGAGAAGGAATGCTTGCCTGAACATAACCATGGGCTCAGATTGCACTCACTAACACAAACTACCAAGGAAACAGCAAAAGGAGGAAAAATGAACACCACTCATAGCTTTGCTGCATGGATGGCTAAGCAAAATGATCACTTCCTTTCAATAAGATATTTTTTTTTGGCTGAGTAAAAGTGAGGAAAAGAAGACAACGTTAACAACAGTAGAAACACATACATCACCTTTTAGTACCATTGGAATCTACCCATTCTTGAAACAGCTTCATGGCCTTTGTGTTACAGTTCTCTAGTTGATGGGTGCAGGCAAAGTCGAGCAGGATTGACCGAAGTTCTCGCTTTGACAGGGTCCCCTCATCGGACCAAGTTTGTTGTTGGATTTGGGGTTGAAGCAACTTTGCCACTCTGGTCTAAAGACAGTATTAAAGGGAGAGGAAACAATAGGAAAATTGTCAACCAACAAGCATTTATTAAAATCTGACTATATGTCAGGCATTGTGCTAACACTGGGAATTCAAAGTAAGGCAAAAAAAAAAAACGTCTCCGCCCTAAAGCCTACATTCTAATGGGGGAAACAACATGTACCTATACAAGGTTGATAAAAGATACACACAGAGGAGATGCAAGGTCACCTTAGAAAGCTAAGCGGATAATTTCTTAGTAAAACTTTATCACCAAAGCTCACTCAAAAGGAAAAGGAAAACAAAGACCATGTAATATCAATTGGTTTTTTGTTTTTACACCTTAAGCTAAATGGACTTTTTACAGTTTATCTTAATACTGCTGAGTGATACTGCCCCAGATGGGTAGGCTGTGACAGTACTGGTCTGAACCCTAGCAACATCCTCCATGAAGTCAAGGGATGGAAAAAAGATGGTTCTTTTCTTTAGAGATGTACTATCAAGTGTTTAGGTGTTATCTGAATCAATCAACATGTAAGAGCAGCACCAGTGGCCTGTAGGCCCCTCCCAGTTCTAAGTCCATGAACCTGAGAATATGTGAAGTTCTAGAGACAGAATTTGGAACAGTGGAAAAAACAATGGATCTGGAGTCAGAGAATCTCATTTCAAAGCCTGTCTCCGCTATTTACAACAAGTCACAGCAAATCCCTGAGGCTCAGTTTCTCTATCTGTAAAGTGAAGAGGCAAGACTAAAGCGAAGACTAAAGGTCCTTTCTATTGCTAATATTCTTAACCCTATAATATTTATGTTTCTGTATAAGAAGTTAAGGGGAACTATTCTGCCTAATTCCCCACTTGAGCATTTAAATTTAAAAAGTTAACAAAAAAAGAGGGGAGGAATAGATTTATGAGATCTTAAAAGATGAATAAAATATTTTTTAAAAAAAGGTGTTCATAGTCTTACCTGTCCTTTGCTTCCATCCCAAATGATTTTTTTAAATGGTTTATAAAATATAATTTTATTTTATGTTACTTTGCTGTTACACAGGGCATAACATTTTCACAAGGCTTTTTTGGGACTACAATCAATGATTAGCAACACACAATAGCGGTCCAAACTTCCTAAGTAACCATCACTGGACAAACGGAACACCCTCTCACATGTGCACAAATCTGCATGGAAAAGTACTAAAAATGTTAGGCCTGGACTCATGTATTTCCAATGGTTTCCCCCATTCTAATGTATTAAGAAATGACATGTACTTTAATTTGCCAAAAAGCAACATTTGCATTCTGGTAGTTACATGCTATTTCTATTACATAGTAAAGCAGACACCAGAACTACAAAGGCAGGAGTGTGAGTAAACTTTTATTGCGACAGGGAAATTGCCAAATGAAACAGCAGCAACTGAAGAGTAAGAAAACTTCATGCTGTCACAGGACTTATTTTACAGTAGGCATATTTCCGTTTGTGATCTCTAACTCTAAAATGCCAAACTTGTTTCCATTTGACCCAATACTTCCAGATTCCTCCTTAAAAGGAATATATAAGAAGAGCATGTGAAAGTTGTTTGCTGAAAGGAAAACACTGAAAAATAAGGTGGAAATATGGTGGGGGGAAGCTATGTAAAACACTTGAGTTGTATTTAACTACATTTTCCTGTCTTCACTGTAATACAAAACAGAGTCACTTGCAGAACTGGTTCAGATTTTTAAATACTAGATATACTTTAGTCCTCTACATAAGTGTTTGGAAGTTACTTATGTTTATATTAAATGAAGCTATTAATACTTTTCTACATCAGTAACCACACACCAGGAAGGCCAGGACAAATACAAATCAAGGAATGGAGTTTTCCCAAAGCTGCCATGTGAAAAGACTGTAAACGATTGATTTCCATATACATGGATGGGTTCTCTTTGCTATAGGAAATCCAAATGGAGCTATAAGGAATGGAGATCTGTAAAAAGGTTTCTTGAGAGAAAGGAAGATGACACCCTGTATAAATTTTAATTTTCTGCACTTTCTGCAGCATCACATTCTTCTCCTGTACTGTCTGATGTCCATAATGTTAGGATGTCTCTAAGCAACTGCATGATAAGGGTACTGTCTTGGTAGGAGTCTTCGTTCAGCGTGCCAAGTTCTGCAATAGCCTCATCAAAAGCTGTTTCAGCCAATGTGCAGGCAAGCTCTGGGTTATTAAGGATCTCACAGTAAAATACAGAAAAGTTAAAAGCTAAAACCAGGCGAATTGGATGTGTAGGTTGCATCTCTTTCTTGCTGATGTCAAATGCTTCTTGATAAGCTCCTTTGTTTTCAGTCATCACCACAGAAGGAATCAGAAGTAGTCTCCCTTCATTTTCATATGGAAGACTTTGCTCTCTAGATTAGTCACATTGGCTATTAAAAACTTATCCAACAATGCCCAGACCGTGGTGCAGATGGATCTTAGTTCACACTCCACTTTCTCCCGGTAGTCTTTGACCAGCTGCATCTTCTTGTCACTGGTTTCAGTTTTCTGCTCAATGCTGGAAATGACCCTCCAGGCTGACCTTCAACGCTCTCCCCACCCCCAACTATGTTCCTGTAGGCCATTGAGAGCAGGTTGTGCTCCTCACTGGAGAGCTCAGCCCCTTGCTCAATCACCGCCTTCATGCAGGTGGCCATGTCATCATAGCGCTCAGCCTGCTCAGCCAGCTTGGCCTTCTGAATCATCTTGGTCTTCTCCATAGTGGACAGGTTTCAGGTGGGAGTTGGGGCAGTGACGGCAGTGGAAGCCACAAGGCTCTGGGGAGAAGGAGAAGCAGCACTGAGGATGGGACAGGGGAGAATCAGCCCAGATCAGGAAGAGTCCTCGAAAGCCTTCACTTTCACTGCCTCTGAACACCCCTACTTTGATCCGCTTTAGGCTGTGGCAAAGGAGCCTCCTGTCTCACCCTACCCCCAAGCCCATCCCAAATGATTTCTAAAAATGATGTAATAGAGGATAGCAGAATAAAATAGAAAGCAAAAATCCAACAATATATTGCTCACAAGAAACATGCTTGAACATAAAGTTTGACAGAGTTAGAATAAAGGGCTGTGGCAAAAGTAAAGACTTAAGAACTCTGATAAATCCGACGGCCAACCACGATTTCAGAGGTCTGACGATGAAGTACGCTACCCACTTCCTGATAGAGGGAATGGACACAGGTGCAGAATAAGATAAACATTTGTGAACATGGTCAGGGTAAGAATTTGCTTTGCTTGACTATGTATATGTACTATACATATGTGTTACTGACCCTGACATAGTGATGTCATTTTGGCCTTCTTTGAGTACAAAGGATAACAACCAACCATATATGTGACAAGTTTGCTTTTCAGGTTTTTTGTTTTGGTTTGGTTTGTTTTTAATGAGGAGATTGGAAGGAGAGAAAATAAATGCTTTTCCAACTGACAAAAAGTACAATAAAATAAGTTACACCAAAAAATCAAAATGATGTGACAAGATGGCTTATATGTAGAACTACGTGCAGTATCAGACCATCACTGTTTGAGAACAAACAATACAAAAAATAAATCAAGGAACTATGATTTCATTGTAGGAAACTCTACTCAAACTATAAGCTGTTTATAATAGCAGATAAGTTGTAGGGCACTGCCTGTGAGAGGCGGTGATTTTCCTATGGTCAAAAAGTTAATAATTGTCTCAGAGGAGAGATCTGAACCTGGCTTTCCCTGACTCTAAGCTCAGAGCTCTCTCCATGACACCAGGATGCCTCAAAAGAGAACGGATTAGGGGCAGCTGGGTGGTGCACTGACCCCTGAAGTCAGAACCTGAGTTCAAATTCAAACTCACACACTTACTAGCTGTGTGACCCTACACAAGTCACTTTACCCCAACTGCCCCCCCCCAAAATGATGAGAGAGAGGAGACAGAGAGAAGAGAGAGACAGAGGGAGACAGAGAGAGAGTGAGAGAGAAGGATTCTATTTTTTTTTTTGGCTTTTTGCTGACATTTTTTTCTAGATGGTAACTATTCCTGACTGGGTCTCCAATGACTTAGAGTGGACTGTAGGAACCATTTATTCCTGCAGATGTTAGAAAAATAAGCTTCTGGTCTAGTTTATTCCTTGACAGAAGCAGGAACAAGTTTGAAGGTTTTAGAATTGGATGTTAAGTTGTAACCTGCAATGTCTTGGTCCCATGACCAAGTCATTAGACCTGTGAAAGGAGGAAAAGAAAACAAACTTTTTCATTGAAAGATAAAAGTTCAAGTATATATAAATTAAAAATATTAAACTAGGTTTTTAGTTTACATATCAGTATTTTGGACAAAATCACCTACCCCAATCCTAGTGATAGGTGCGGCATGTTTGGTTAACTCTGAAAGTGGATCATTATTACTAATTTGTTAGTTTACCTTTTTCCTGCCTTCTGCCCTAAACTCCCTCCCAGCAAAATGATGAACATGGAAGTATTTTCAAAGTGCAAGCTTTCACAGATGGTGGTGGTGACTGACAAATACTGTCAACTGAAATATACATTTCCAAATGTTACTAGGCAGCAAGGTGATACAGTAGATAGAGTACTGGGCCTAGAGCCAAAAAGAGTCATCTTCCTGAGTTCAGATCTGGCCTCATACATGTATTGGCTGTGTGACTCTGGGCAATTCACTTAACCCTGTTTGCCTCAATTTCCTCAACTGTAAAACAGGGATAATAGCACCTATCTCCCAGGGTTGCTATGAGGATCAAATGAAATATCTGTAAAGAACTTACTTAGAACAGTGCCTGGCAAATAATAAGTGCTAAATAAATGCTTATTCCTTTCTTTCTTCATCTTCGTGATCTGAGATTTTGCAAGGGCCTCTCTAATTCCTTCTAATTTTCACTGGCCTCAGAACACTTCGTCTTCTGTAGCATTTGGGGGAAAAAACAGAACAACCATTGGAAATACACTAAACCATGAAATAAACTAACCTGAAAATAGACAAGCTTGGCTTAGACTGGGCTGTCAATCTTCA